GAGTGACTGCTTAAAGGCCCTTAGAGCCTCATGCCGCCTGTGGAAGCATCCCTGTGGTGTGGAGCGGGAGCGTCCCTTCTTGGTGAGAGCCCTTTGTCTGCCCTCTGTTGCTGGCCCACCTGCTGTCCCAGACTGCAGCTTCCTTTCTCCTGCTGCTCCAGGACAGGAGGACTGGTCCTTTGAGGGTTTCATGGCACCAGTGGTGAAAATATTATACGAAAATCGCAGCTGAATGGAGAGGCGCCGTCATGTCCCAGGTACAGGTGGCAGCTGCACGTGCCCTGCTGGCACCGGCCATTGCCTGCGATGCGGCTTTCCCCCCATTGTCATCTAGGCAGGTGGCTGGGTTTCCTCTGTTTGACCTGCAGCTGGGGACCCTCTCCTCCCTGGTGACCTGGGAGCTGCCTGCTCCTCTCCTCGGGCTGTTCTTTGGGTTCCCGGGCCAGTTTGCATTCTCGGCAGAAAGCGGTTAGTGACCTTGAACGAGTCCCTTCGCTCCTCTGAGCCTCAGTTTCTTCACGTAGAGGAAGAAGCACAGAACTCATTGTTAATGTCGTGAAGATTTGGGGAAATGGTGTGTGGGAAATGGGTGGCCCACTCTGCCGGGCACAGAGGCTTATTCCACAGCATCATTGCGTGTCTACTCAGCCCAGCGGGTCCCAAGTGCCGAATGGCCTGGAGGAGCGAACAGGCCATGTCTGTCCTGGTGGGGCTTTTGGTTCAGCTGGCGTTTGGGTCTTAATTAGATATTCACAGCTCTCTCTCCAAAGTGGCCAAGGACTAGAAAGGACGATGCACAGACCTCCTGGGCCCTGATGTAAGCAGAGGACATCTCTCACTAGCAGTGGCAGAGAGACGGGAAGAAAGAACAAGGGAGTTAGGAAAAGAGGTGTCAGGCCCTCAGCCCTAAGGTGCCTTTGAGCAAATTAGGAAAAGACACTCCCAGCCCAGGGCAGGTCAGCTCTCACCCTTGACATCAGGCTCAGAGTTGGGCTCTCCGCCCATTGGGGTGCCCTTGAGCAGAGAGCCACCTGCCCACTACACAGCACCCTGGCTGGCGCAGGAGGACCCGAGGGGGAGGGCACGTGAGGAGGGGAAGGGCCGCATGGCTGAGCACAGGAGCGGGGCTGAGGGAGGGCCCAGAGGCCCCAGTGGACGCCAGTAGGTGCTAACCCACGGTATGGTGGCATCATTCTCCCAGATCCCTGCTGACACCCCAGGCCTGGGAAACAGATCTTCTTAGAAGCCACTGCCTTTTAACTGGTGAAGGAGAATTACTTATGGGGTGGGATTTGTTGGTGTCACAGAATAAGGACAGTGGGTGAAGAGAGGCATTAAGTGGAAAGCTGGGAGCTGACACATCTCCAGGGCCGGCCCCCAGCAAAATACAGATGCCCCCTCGCAGCCCAAAGAATGCCTGCCTGAGAGGGAGAAATGGGAACAAGCAGGCCCTGAAGGAGAAAGCCCCACATCCTTCCCATCAGCAGGGACAGAGCGGCAGGGAGAGGCCCCACCTCACCGCGTGCAGAAGTAGAAGAGGCTCCAGGAGGAAAGGCTGCGGCACTGCCCACTCCAAGTGTCCTCAAGGCCAGCACGACACTCCTGGCTTGGATTTCTTTGATTCTGGAATAATTCTAGACAGCATTCCTGCCCTCACACAGACACGTGCGCAGGGCGAGGTTTTTGTGGAGGTGGTGGGGGTGGTGATTTTTAAGTCGGATCCTGCATTGTTGCCAGTCAACTTGGCCGTCTGTGCCAGAGTGGCTGCTGCCAGGGTCTGCCCAGCTGAGGTCTGGTGTGAGCATGGCATTGGGAGGTAGCCTGGGCCCTGACTAGGCCACTAGAAGCTGTGTGATTGTGGACAGGTTACTCAACCTCTCTGTACATGGGCTTATAGTAAAGTCACGTGATGGCATCCTAGGGAGAGTCAAGGCCAGGGCATTGGGAGTCCCTGGCATCCAAAGTCAGGTCTGGGGCTCCTGCCCTGGCGCAGCCTCTGTGTGGCCACGGACTTGCAGAGACTGTGTGTTTGAACTGCATCTGAAATGCTTTGCCTTCTGCTCTTCAGAGGTTGCTGTGTTTTGGGGAAACATAAGGAACCAACAGTAATTCAGACTTGTAAGTTCTTATCAGCAGTTAGGATCTCTATAAAGCTTTAGGAGAAAATAAAAAGAGAATTTAGCCATGTTTTTTTTTGTTTTAAATATATTTTTATTGCTTTCAGAGAGGAAGGGAGAGGGAGAGAGAGATAGAAACATCAATGATGAGAGAGAATCATTGATCGGCTGCTTCCTGCACACCCCCGACCAGCTGCGCTTGTTCTACTGTCTATCTATACTAATAAAAGGGTAATATGCTAATTAGACCAGATAGATTAGACATCTTCTGGACATCATTCCAGACGTCCTTCCTGACAAAGCCAGGGCCCGTGTGAAGCCGCCCAGGGTCCCGGGTGCCTGCAGCCAGCCAGAGGGAGGGAAACCTGGGTCCTGGGTGCCTGCGGCCAGCTGGAGCAGGGGCCAAGGCAGAGGTGGTTAGGGGCGATGAGGCAGGCAGGCAAGCAGTTAGGGGCGATCAGGCAGGCAGGCAGAGTGGTTAGGAGTGATCAGGCAGGCAGGCAGGTGAGCAGTTAGGAACCAGTGGTCCTGGATTGCGAGAGGGTGCAGGCCGGGCTGAGGGACCTCCCCCCATGCACGAATTTCATGCACCAGGCCTCTAGTCCTCCTATATAATAAAGAGGTAATATGCAAATTAATCCTCACACCCTCACTAGATGGCTGCCTATGATCAGGCCGGCAGGGGGGTTAGTGAGGGATGACCAAATGACTGAACAAGCAGGCTGCGTGGGGCAACCAGGCTGGCAGAGGGGAGCAGTTGGGGGTGACCAGGCTGGTGGGGGGCAGTTGGGGCAACCAGGCCAGCAGAGGAGGACAGTTGGGGGCAACCAAGCCAGCAGGTGGGGCAGTAAGGGGTGACCAGGCCGGCGGGGCGGGGGCAGTTAGGAGCAACCAGGCTGGCACGCAGAGGTAGTGTGGGGTGATCAGGCCAGCAGGGGGGGGGGCAGTTAGGGGTGACCAGGCAGGCAGGCAGGTGAGCGATTAGGAGTCAGCAGTCCAGGATTGTGAGAGGGATGTCCAACTGCCAGTTTAGGCCCGATACTAAACTGGC